CCAAGAGATAAGAAAGGAATGAAAGTGAGAGAGAGAGAGAGTCTGTGTGTGCATATGAGAAGTCAAGAATATGTGTGTGTGTGTGTGTGTGTGTGTGCGCGTGTGTGTGTGTGTGTGTGTGTGTGTGTGTGTGTGTGTGTGTGTGTGTGTGTGTGTGTGTGTGTGTGTGTGTGTGTGTGTGTGTGTGTGTGTGTGTGTGTGAATAAGTGGCATGCAAAGAGGCATAGAGCAATACATATTGCCTCGTGAGTTCTGCGTGCTGCCATTTACGTGTTTTATGATCACAGCAATTAACCGGCTAAGCTGTATTTAATTTTTAAGCAATGGTTGATCAATTGTCAGATTACACATAAAAAGCACTTTGGATTGCTATTATCTGTCTCACTGAGACAGATCTCAGACAGATCCTGAGACACTCCTGCCTGACATATTTATTTTATTCATGGAAAAAATCAAACTAGTGATTTCTCTTGGCGTTCAGTTAATACATTGAAACAGCACAGCACTCTATTTAAACTACTTACATGCAAATCTATGTTATTTGTCCATCCATCCATTTTCATCCGCTTATCCGGAGTCGGGTTGCGGGGGCAGTAGCGTCGAGAGGCCCAGACTTCCCTCTCCCCAGCCACTTGGGCCAGCTCCTCTGGGGGAATCCCAAGGCGTTCCCCAGCCAGGTCCGGTAAGAAGTCAGCTCCGACAGCTTCTGGCATTTTTAAAAAGTATCCCAAGGGCACAGTAAGGGTCGGAGATGTTTAGTCTATTTAATTTCTGACTATATAAAACGATTTATTTGGTCTTAAAGTGTGAAGTAAACTCCGACGAAGTAAAATCCAAGCTGATCCCATTCATTTTGTTTACATTTGTTGCCTGCCAACATGACGTCCACTCTCTGAGAGTCACGTGACGTCAGGAGCTCTATAGGGTACAAATCAAGCAACTCAAGACAAAAATGATAAGCATCAAACAAGAAAAATAATAAGTAAATAGATAAATGCTACGATCAGATATGAAAGGTTCAGAATCAACACGCTGAAGTGAGAACACAGCATGAGGTGCTGCAATCATTTGTCTATTGCGGATCGTAATCTCAATCCTTATAACTTTGTCCAAAGAATCATTCCATACAAAGTGTTATACAAAAATCAGCAAAATAATAAGAACAAAGAAGGTAATAAACACGATAAGGCAAATACAACTGACAACAATCTCTTACAGCAGTTCACAGAGATAGAGAACGGAATCAGCTAAATCAACACAATTATAACCTTAAGAAAAGCTATTTCATACATATTGAAATGAATTTACTGTGATGCACAATTCTACAATTTATGGCAGTTACTGTAAGAAGATTGGGAAGGGTTCGCAAAACCATATAGTACACAGAAAACATCAATACAGTTTATTGAAACATCAGGTGAATTTGATTTAAAGCTTCAAGTTGCAGATGAGTCTTTCTGTGAAGGAGGAAAAATGAACGTGTAATATTAATTTATGCAGTTCTAACTATGTCAGAGCTAAGGCAAACCAGGCATTCTTGATCAAAGGGCTCGTCCGTGGACTGACAGTCCCAGTTGGAGAATAGTTTTGAAAGATAGAGTCCTCTTCCATTGATCAGGATGGTTTCAGTCTTATGTTGATAAGTACCTTGAAGTCCAGGTCCGGAACGTAATAACGTAGTTTGGAACATGAAGCGCACAGTTCAACTTCTCAATAGGAAGGCTTCAGGGTCCTTCCATGGCATGTCGAGGCGGTTGTCCAATTGTCAGGGAGCTGATCTTGTCCCCGAAAAGTCCTTTAGGTCCTTGACCATGAAACCAGTCTGGAGGTTTGGGTGCAGGTGCTTGAAGTAGTTGATCCTGTTGTAGTTTTGTCCACGGGGTCGACAGCTGAGGTGGAAGCGGGTTACGTTGTCATGTTGATGTGCGGTCAGGAAGGAACCCCAATCCGTAATTTCATTTCCAGTTCTAGTACCCCCTCAAATGCTGCTGTCTGAGTTGTTTCATCAGGTGCTGAGAGGCGGCCCAAGTGCAGGGCCATGAGTGCGACCACCAACATCAACAATGTGGTGAAACCAATGACCTTGAAGCAAACCTCCATCTTCACCGGATTTGAGAGGTGGCACCCTAGTGGTGGCCCACCCCTTTGTAGCTGGACTTCATCACTAAAGCGGTTAGTTGATAAGCTTGCAGTGGGATAGATGAATCCAAGATGGTCTCTCAGCAATCTTCACAGCAGTGGGAGTGAAGAGGAGTACTTCGAATGGACCTCTAGCTGCCCCATTTATTTCGCTTTAGCACCTTCAACCGAACCCTGGTGCCTGTCTCCAGCGGTCAATGGGCAATTAGGCGGGGTACACCCTGGACAGAGAGCCAGTCCATTGCAGGGACACACAGGACAAATAATCATGCACACACACACACTCACACCTAAGGACAATTCAGACAGACCAATTAACATAACAGTTATGTTTTTAGGACAGTGGGAGGAAGCCGGAGTACCCAGAGAGAACCCACGCATGCACAGGGAGAACATGCAAACTCCATGCAGAAAGATCCCAGGCCGGGAAGTGAACCCAGGACTTCAACCCCTTTTGATCATATCGTTATAGACTGTGTAGGTCCTCTTCCTCCATCTCGGTCAGGATGCAAATATCTGTTAACAATCTTGTGTTTTGCCACTTGGTTTCCGGAGGCTGTTCCTTTGTCTTCGATTACAACTAAGAATGTAAAAGCATTAACTAGTTTCTTTTCTGTTTTAGGTTTGCCCAAAGTCATTCAGTCCGATCAGGGTACCAACGTCACCTCTCGGATCTTCTCTCAGGTTGCAAAGACCCTGAACATCAGACACGCCACGTCCTCCAGTTACCATCCAGAAAGTCAGGGCGTGATCGAGCGACAGGACAAAACTCTAAAAACCATGCTCCGGAAAAATTGCTTATTTTCTGGTCACTCTTGGGAAGAAGGTCTTCCATTTGTTTTATTTGCAGCCAGGGATGCAGTACAAGACTCCACTGGTTTCAGTCCACATTAGCTAGTGTTTGGTCATGCCCCTAGGGGCCCATTAAAGGCCTTGAAGGAAAAGTTCCTCTGGCCTGTTCCTCCTGTCGGTTCTAGCATTCCAACCTATGTAAATACCTGTCAGAAAAGACTGAAAGACGCTAACCATTTAGCGCAACAGCACCCGAGGACTGTAAAAGCCTCTGTGAAAGCTCGCTATGACACAAAGTCTCGTTCCCAAGTTTTACAAGTAAGAGAATAAGTACTCCTTCTGAGTCCAATGGTTGGCTCTTCCTTATCTCCTAAGTTTGAGGGCCCTTAAGAGGTTGTATCTAAATTGAGTGAATGCAACTATGTGGTAAAAACCCCTTCATTGCATAGAAAGACTAAAGTCTGCCACATACACCGATTGAAACCATCCAGTGTAGAGACTCTGCTCCCACCCAGTCTGGTGTCATTGCTGCCAATGTAGGTTCACAACTACCAGAAGACTCTGATGTACCCTCTCATGCCATTACTATGGGTCCTCCTACTACCCCTCGTCTGTGCATTTCAGATGCCCTTAAGAATCTGTCTACCAGTCTGAATCATCTCTCACCTTCTCAGCAGGTGGAACTACAAGACTTACTTTTCTCTTTTCCTGAGCTATTTTCAGATGTTCCTTCGCAAACCCATCTGATAACTCGTGACATGGTTCTTTCAGACCCGACTTCAGTGCGGATGCACCCCTACCGCACCAGCCCTCAAAAGCGTGAGTTGATGAAGCAGGAGGTAAACTACCTACTCAAGAACGGCCTAGCAAAGCCAAGTATTAGTTCTTGGAGCTCCCCTTGTCTGTTAGAAAACAAACCCGATGGTACTTGTAGATTCATCACCGACTATCGTTAACTCAATGCAGCTACTGTTCCGGATTCATTCCCTTTGCCTCGTGTGGATGACTGTGTAGACAGTGTGGGAGCAGCATCCTTTGTTTCTAGACTCGGCCTTCTAAAAGGGTATTGGCAAGTTCCGTTAACTTCTTTCACCTCCAAGGTCTCTGCTTTTGTGACTCCAGACAATCTTTTACAGTACACTGTGTTGCCATTTGGTTTAAGAAATGCCCCTGCCACATTTCAGAGGCTCGTTAACCAGGTTCTGTGTGGCGTCCCTCAATGTAGTGCTTATTTAGATTGGCTAATCTCACTTGAAACTTGGATAAATGTGAGTTTGTGAAAGCCACCATCCACTACCTAGGGATGGAAGTCAGCCATGGGAAGGTATGAGCCCTAACGGACAAGATCCAGGCCATGGTTTCCTTTCCACCTCCAACAACCCATCAAGAGCTCCAGCGACTTCTAGGCATGGCTGGGTTCGATAGGTGTTTCTGTCGAAACTTCTCGGTTGTGGCTCAGCCCCTCACTAACATGCTAAGTCCTCGCATCCCCTTTTTATGGACTTCTGAGTGTCAACATGCCTTTGTTTCTTTACAAAACCTGTTGTGCTGTGCTCCTGTCCTAGCAGCTCCAGATCTCTCATGGCCGTTTAAGATGGAAGTTGACGCAGCCACGCTGGGGCTGGAGGAGCTGTTCTAATCCAGGAAGATTCTAACGTGCTTGATCATTCCGTTTGTTACTTTTCCCGGAAGTTCAACCAGGCTCAGCTCCACTACTCCACCATTGAAAAGGAAACATTAGCACTCATCTGGGCTTTGCAACATTTCCAAGTTTGTGTCAGAAACAGTAAATTCACCACTCCTGTGTTTACAGATCATAACCCATTGGTCTTCCTGAGTCGTATGTACAACCATAATCAGTGGCTGATGAGATGGTCTTTGCTGCTGCAGGAGTCCACCATTGAGATCCGTCACAAGGGCTCCGACAACGTCATCGCCGACGCCTTGTCCCGTAGTTTTGGTGCTTGAGGCTCCCTTATAGGCTTATGATCCCCACTCCTTTGGGTGTGAATCCCGTTTGTTTTGCTTTGTAGTGTTGAAAACAAAGGAGGTTAGTGTTGTCTGTGTCTCACAGACATCTCGGGAACACTCCGCAGTACTGGGGATCAGTACTGCTGGTAATTTGTGTTTAATTCACCCGCCATCACGTTTTCATGAAGACTAGGGTGAGTTAGTTAGTTTTATTTTTGAGTTAGCTGTAGTCCTCAAGATTTAAAACAAATGTCGGCCCTGTATGCTAAACTTGCCCTCTGTTTTCTTAAGGGGTGGGGCGTTACAGGCACTCCCCTTTCCGGCCACTAGATGGCCTCAGTAGCACCATTCTCACCTGGCTCCTTCCTCTGGTTGCCCAGCTGTACGTGATTCCAATCATCAGCACAGCTGGTAAAAGGACGTCACCTGGGCTGAGACGGCGAGAAGGTTGCAGGGAAGTGTGGGCATGGAAGGTTTCCATTTCTCTCTTCTCCTCGCGTGCACACATTTTGATTAGCTTCGTTGGTAAACTCGACCCTTGAACATACAGTTTGATTTGGCCTTGTCAGAGCGTCTCTGCTTAACAGGACTGCTCCCGTTTAAGTTGTGGATTTTAGTTGGACTATTTATGTTAGTATTCCCAGCCCCTTTTGGGCTGGCGCTTTCTGTTAGAACCTTTTGTACTTAGATCCTTTGTTTTCTTATAAAGATATCCCTTTTTTATTGTAAATACTTTTAGTCCACCTGAGTTTTGTAACGAAATCCTTGTTTTAGTGACACACTACTCTGTTATTATTTCTACCTCACACGTTTTCATTACAGCGTCCACCACATCACTCCTAGAGAGCTGGGGGACGTTATACAAATCAACACTTCCATGGTGGCCAGACCTAGAAGCCACAAGGGGTAACTTTCAGTCTGTATTTCTGAGGTAAACTACAAAATGTAATTCCTCTCCAGCACTTCTTTTAATGTACAACTCTTTGGTAACACTTCACTATAGGGGCCCTGTATTAGCGTTACTTAGAGAATTATTAAGCGATAATAAATTAATTAAAAAAATATTAGTAACTGCCCAATATTAAGTAATGCATCATTATCAGACACCGCCCGACCATTTGTCCTATCCTTAAAAACACAATAAAGGGATCCTTTGTTTGTTAATGCTTAATAATCCACTAAGTAACGTTAATAAGGGACCCTTACTGTTCAGTGTTACCAACTCTTCTTCTGATGCCATTCTTGTTGCTTAGCAATGCTGTTTTCTCATCACCGATGCCTTTAATTCAAGCTATAAATTGCAACAGCAGCACTGTCTCATTAGCTATTCTCGACGAAAACTGAAAGGACATGTTGAGTTTGATACTTCATATTTATAAAATGATAAAGCCTCTTTGCCACATTTTGCTATCAGAATAAATCATTAACACCAGAATATTTTTGGTCACCAGTCTGCCATTTATTTATTTATTCATTCAATTTCAAAGAACACGTTAATTAAATTCACTTTAGACAAATTTTATTTTTCATAAATATGTCATATTAAAGACATTTCACCTTGTGCCTATACAGAAATAAAGCATTACACAGTTGCAATAGTTTTTAAGCCATAAAAGAGAGTAAGGCACAGAATAGGAAGAGTATTCATACAGTTTACTCATGCTCTGACAGATTATGTTCAAAAAGGTATCAGAAAGCTATTCTGAAAACTAATCTCAGCTAAATGATGTCCGTCATTAGATTGGTGCGCATGCCCCTAAAGACAAAACAACACAGAAAGGCAGCAGCTTTGTATGGTTAGAGTAAGTTTGACACAGCTGAGGAAATCACTCCATAAGATTTGGTCTGAAGGCAAGAAATTCTGCTTTGTTTCTGCTGTAAAGTGCACAACGTTTAATATCTGGGGAATTGTGCTATGCTAAACGTTTCACACAGAAGAAGAAAGCTTTGGACAATAATTTCACCAAAGATAAAATCCTTTGGTTAACTAAGACCAATTATTGCCAGCTGCAGGTAAGTAACAGTCTTGCCAACTCCTCAGTGAAATCACACGGGTCACTGGAAATGAATTTGTAACAAATGTAGAAAAAAAACTTTTACCTTACTGCAGGAAAACCTGCAGTTCAAGACGTAACTGGTGGTATTCTTGTTTAAGTTCGGCAGGCAGGCATCGTTCATCTGTTTCACTGCTTGGAGGAAAAGCCTTTGCCACCTGCTTTTATAAGTCCCTGTGATAAAGAGACTTTGTCATTAGATTTAGCGATGTTATCTGATTGTCTTTGCATCTGTATGACTAAATCTGAGTCAAGGACTTGAAGAAATGGCAATGAGGGGAATCAAAAATAGGCACTAAGGTGAAAAGCAAAACGCAGGATGAAAAACACGTGGAGGGGAAGACGGAGGGAAGAGTGGAATGCTTAAGTAGAAAATATTTATGATATGAGCTTAAGGCATACATATTTTATCAGACATGTTTATACAAAAGGATATCATACAGAACATTCAGCATAAATGAACAGTGGTAATAATATTAATAATAACGATGAAACAAGAAATATGTAACTATCATGTATTCACATACCCCTAACACATTTTCCTTTTCTTTATTCCATTTTCCTGTAAACAAATCCTTGAAATGATACAAAAGAGCCGTATAAAAACTTCGGCTTTGGGTCTCGCTTGCACGTGTCACTGCTGTAAGGCACCAGTTTAGTTGTAGCTGCACAAACAAAAGGAACCGATGATGAAGCTCGACACTCGCTGTCCCATTAGCGTGTCCATGCATGAACATAGCAACCTTAGATGAAATGAAGATTGTCATTTGTAGAAGAGTAATGCAGTCACTGAGTTGCTTGGTCCACTAAAAACATCTGCTGTGCATAAAGACAAGTGTAGTCTCATACTTTGCCCCTGATATCACTTCCCTTCTTTAAAAGATGTAACCCTTTTATTGAAATTGAGCCTGCTGTGATTGTCAGTGTGAGTCTGCAGCAGGTGTCTGAGCAGGTGATGATAGGAGATCCTATCTTCATATTCTGGATTGCAGCCTTTTTCGTCCTCTTGCAGCAGGTGTGTGTGTGTGTGTGTGTGTGTGTGTGTGTGTGTGTGTGTGTGTGTGTGTGTGTGTGTGAAGCAGAAGACTGGATGTCTATGCATGCGTGTGAACAGAAATGGCGGAGAGGTCATTCTTGATGATCTCGTTCACTGTGGAGACAAAATGGGGAATATGGATCATTAATAACCACAACATTAACAATGAATTGGATTATTGAGGTCCCATCAGCTCACATAATTTTCGGAACTTTAAATTTTAAAGTGCATAAGTTTGGTAATTGACTGAGGACTAAAGAGATCGTGGCTGATTTCAGGTTTGTTCCTGCTATCTCCAGTTAAAATGAGTTTTTTTCTGGTATCATTCAACCTGACACAACAGGTGTATTCTGTCTGACTGACGCTATGTCAGCGATGTTTTAAACAATGACATTTTAGCAGACAGATGTTGAAAGGCATTTCATTTCATTTACTGGAATATTTGATTCTGAAAATCATAAAAACTAACCTAGAATTCTAGACAAGCCGTAGCTGTTTTCCTCTGCCGGTCGGTGTAGCCATGCTCCATTGTAGCCTCAGCAGGTCTAACACTGGCCAAAACTAGTTTAGGGCTGTCCAATCTCAGCGCTCTATGTTTGTCAAGAGACGTGGGTTGGCTTAGCACCAGAGCTGCCAAGGAGAAAAACTACAAAGATGGCGACGACTCTTTTTTGAAACAACTTTAAATGACTTAGACTTGAGCTTTTCTTTGAGACATGAGCGGGTGGAGGCATCTATGTCATTTAGTTCAAAAAAGGATGTATTTGCTGCTTCTTCTTCACCGGTGCATGGCGGACTGCTTTGCTGACTGGTTTCTGTAGCATTGGGTATGTCTCGTTGTTCGTTGCTGTGATTGGTTCTAGCGCTGTCCAATAGTATGCAGTTTGAAAGATAACCGTGGATTCCGCCCCACGACCGAGCTCTGTCTATAGCTCATGGCCAGACTATGTATTAGGGCTGGGCGATATGGCCTAAAATATTGTGGCATATAACAATAAACGGATGATAACTACATGTTTGCACAACAAAAAAAATGTTCACTAGACAGGGCTGTCACATTTATCACGCCGAGTCACGTTGCCAACCTACAAATATCTTTTCATTTTTTTATTACCTAATTCCTTGACATGGGAAAATTGATATTGATTAGAATCAGAGATTTTGATAATGATTAATTTGTGATTTATCGCCCAGCTCTACTATGTAGGACGGCTTGCCAGGCTACATGAATAGGTTTCAGGCAGAGGAAAACCCAACAGTTTTTTCATATAGAAGAAAACAACAACAACAAAAAAAACATTCATTCAGCGATATTTGGTGGTGCAGAAGACAGATGAGTTATTCATGAGTGTGATGTATGACTCATCAACAGAATGAATGTAAGTGATGGACATTTAGTTTATCCTTTAGGTCTGACACACTGATTGCTGCTCTGAATTCTTTGCATAGTGACATTCAAAGTGCCAAATACAAGATGTCAGTAGCTGCAATCCAAACATATCAGTGTCTTTACTAAGGCATATCGGCTCCATGCACACATCTGTGTTTTTACAAGTCATCTTCTTGTCTTTCCTGCACCGGTTCCTGTGCCCGCGCGTTTCCCACAGTCAGGCAAGCAGGGATCATTCTCCCCGTTTATCTGCGCTGTGTTCTTTGGCAAAACAGAGGGAAGTGACTAAGAAGATGGCGAGGGCCTCGAGACCTGTGGCTCAACAAACAAGAAGCTTTGCGGCGGCAGGGAGCTCGGCGTGATAAGACAGGCCGATGCAGACGCCGACAGAGGTAGAGAGAGAGAGTGTCTGGTGAAACCAGCGACAGGAAATCCACCCACTCTGAGGTTCAGAGGGGCCCTGATGTTTGTTATTACTAGATACTGTTAGGTGAGCAGTGAAGCATCAGCACACAAATGAAAACAATACCAGGAGTTGGTTTGAATTCTCAGACACCTGCTAAAAAGACGATGTAATGTTTCAGCATTAAATAAAGCAAGCATGGAAAATATGGAAGAGGGTTGGACAGAAAAACGCATGTGTAGATGTCATTGCACGTGCAGTTTGAATAGGAGCAGGCCACACACTGTCAGCCCTGCGCTTCTCTCTTTGAAGGTAAACACCCTCCGAGTCGCGCACACACGGAACACACACAGGTTAGTCGGGACTCACCTCCCTCAACAGGAGGAACTCCCTTTGGAAAAATCCAACCTGTGCCAACAGTGCCGGCTGTTTTCAGCCTCGCTTCGCTCTGGGCTAAACATGCATTTATACGCCGAGGTTATTTTTAGCTCGTAAAGGAAGCACAAGCACACGCAACAATGAGGTGATCTAGCATTTGTGCCGCTGCTCGGCTCGGCGTTTGCTGAGTTGAGAAAACAGCTCCAGGTAGTTGTGAAGATGGTGTGGGAGAACCCGACAGCTCGGCAGCGAAAAGCAACAAACGTTCTCTTTGTCTTTTTTCACAAGCTTTTCTCCTGTTTTCAGTCAGTGTTTTAAAAAAATCATGACGTCTTCTCCACCTACATAATAACTGTGGTGTTATTTTCAAACTGTTGATTAACTAATATTTTCCATTGGTATGCTCAATGATGTTCCACTGTGAAAAAAAAGAGCCAGAAGATGACACACTGGCCCGAGAGTTTTTATCTTCACACTTGGTCGCCGATGTGAGAATCTAAGAAACGGGATGTGGCCAACTGTTGCACCTCACGACAACACTGACATGCTATTCATAGCCACCTAATGGTGCGGTTCATATAGCTGCAGAAAATTCTGAGAAATTTTTTGCAAAACCTGAATGACTTCTATATATATTTCTCACTACAGGTAAAGCAAAACAAGACTGGTGCACTGAGTCACCTTTGTCCCAATCAGTTTGACCTTAAAAGGTCATCACACAAAAAAACACCTCGTCAGGTGTAAGAGATCTTAAATGACTTTGGTTTTTACGTCTTCCACTTCAGGATAAACTCATAAATGATGTCAGTCTCAGTTAAAGGTGAAGATTTAGAGGAGGGGGAACTTTTATTAAAAAAAACATGACCATCAAATAATCAGATATGTAGGAGGAACCTTTCCATAGGGACATCTCGCTTTTTTATGCTTGCTATAATTTTTGAAAAGGGCACATGCTATATCATGTGACACAAAAATGAAGCAAAGCAGCTTTGCATCTCTCTTCAGCAGCACTGGAAGTTGTTTTTTTCATTTGTCCAGGTTGATAATGGAAACCTGGGAGGATACCCGCTCATGAATAAACAAAAACAGCGGAAAACTGAGCTCCAAATATTCCCCTGCTGAAGAAAAGAGAAAACACACACACGCACACATGCGCTGCAAGTTAGTTAAACAGATCCTTTATTAGCTGCACCACCAGTGTAATCAGTGAACTGCGGCCTGAACCTGTCAGGACTCATACGTGCGGCTATTTTAAGCAGGTGTGGCAGTGATGCGAGAATATGACTGAGCTCTGCTGTGACGGTTCAGAGGACAACCCCACTCATTTGTGCAGCTTTAACATTTAACACTGGGGTTGCATGTAGCCCATAAAGATTGAACTCACTATAATAAGTTGTCTCTGCCAGCTGAGATGGAAGATAATTTGCTCAAAACAGCTGATTTAAAAACAACAGGCAATTCCTGGGTTTCTGTGTCAAAGGTTACAGCAGAAAAATTAAAAAGGAGCGCTGCAGCAAGTTTTGCCTTGAAAAGGCATGTCCCATCAGGTAACAATCCAGCGTTGGGTGTCTCCAAGTAAATAGACATTAGTCTTGTTTTGATGTTCACGAGATTCTTTTGTTGCTGTTTAATTCAATACAAAAGAACAACAAACCTATGATAAATTTACATGTGATGTACAGAATATCCATCAATCCAAACTGTGAGCATCAAATAATTATACTATTAATCCAAAAACAGTCTTTTTTAGCAGTTAGGAAAAACAAAATTTTTATTTTGACTTCCTAAATTGATGCATTTATCATGAGTTTGTACCTTTCGCTATCATGTATATGAACAAATAAAAAAGCAGCAAAATCAGAAATCTGGGATAACAGAAACACATTTAATACATTGTAAGAAAAAATGAATTTTAAAATGTTGTTGCACTGGTGGAGTTAAGATTCTGTTATTAATAATTATAAAACTACATGACTGCACTTGTTTTATTGCAATAAGACTCAAAGGGTGTGCCTTTTTATGGCAACACAAAAAAGAACTGAATTTTTTTTTCCTTTTTTTTTAAATAAGAATTTAGGGCAATGGTTAAAAAGAGTTATTTTTTGAAGCACTTCTTTTTTATTTCTTTTAAAATTTCTATGAGTTTTTTAGACTTTTTTTCAGTTCAGAGCAGCTTTTTTTAGCTGCTCTTTGGCTCCCAATCAGCTGATGACAGCTTCAACACACCGTGCTGCTGAATTAGTAATGCACACATTTTCTTATCAGCAGCGGTGTTATGATAAAAGAAGACACTATATTTTTAGTAATGCTGTTATTTTAAACAGTGTTATTCCCATCAGTGGGTGTCAGACTCCTGGTTAGCCTCTCTGTGAGCCTCTGGTGTTAGTCATTTGTTTGTTTGCTTGTTTGTTTTACCGGCCTGCCTTCTGAAGTTCACGTCTTGGGTCCTGATTCACTAAACCATGACATTGGTGATATTTTTTATAATCAATAGACATCAATAGCCACATAGTTGAACAGAATTTCAACAATAGAAATGAATTTGTTTACTTTCGGGTAGGGTTCTATGGAATTAACATTTAAACGTCAACATTAATTCTGACGTTGAAGACAAATGAGTTAAGGTGCTAAAAATGTGCATTGTTCTTCTGCAGAAATCCAAACGGGCACAGGCATTATTGTGACTTCATTTACTTACTTAGACTTCAGCATGAACCTGACCTGCTCTGGGGATCTAGTTAGCTTTGTTAGAGGCGAGCGCTGAGCTCTGGGATTCGATAACAGCCGGGCTTCCTCAGAGAGCAGAGGATGCCCTGTGGTCTGAGAGGAGGTGAGACTCGAGGCCTCAGAGCCTCTTGGTGTCGTAACACAATCCCTCTGCAGTCGGATTCGGCCTGACCGGCAACGACCCCACTGAGAGTGACTTCACCTCACCCAGGCTTC